AGGAAGAGGAGGGAGAGTCTGATACGCGTGATGGAGGCAGAAAGCAGCAAGGGGAGGGAGGAGGGAGGAGGGGGGGGAGGAGGAGGAAGAGGAGGGAGAAGGAAGAGGAGGAATGGAGGAAGAAGAAAGGGAGAAGAAGGAAGAGGCAAATGAGGAGTAGGAAGAGGAAGAGGAGGAAGAGGGAATAGGGAGAAGGGAAAGAAGGTAGAGAGAGAGGATGGGATATAGGTGTATGTATGTATTACTACCCTACCTGCCTAACTAACTAACTGAGCTAACTAACGCAGATGGGGTCGTAGTCGTATCAGGTACTACATATATGTACCCGAGGTAGTTTTAGGTTGTTTAGTATTATGTTTATATTTTTATATGAGGTATGTTTAGTGTTAGGGTTAGGGCTAGGGTTAGGGTTAGGGTTAGGGTACACTCCTGTAGTACAATTTGTGTATACATATATGTACCTCGGGTACATATCTGTAGTACCTGATACGACAACGACCCCTTGAGCCTAACTAACTATAGATGTATATATTAATATAGATAGATATGTTATTTGCACTGCGTGTCTACTTATACATGTCTACACACATCAACAATCAAATTTAGACGACAGTGAATGCAGGTGGCGCCACCGCTCACTCGAGGCTCACCGCGCGCCCGCACGCTCGCTTGTTTTAGATCGCCAACGCCGGCTACCAGTTCAAGACGGCGATTGTTCCGCACGAGAAGTCGCAGCAGGTGACGACGAAGGTGACACAAGAGGGCGCCACCACGCTGACGGAGACGGTGACGACGACGGTCACGCAGGCGACCGTTCTCATACAGGTTAGAAACGTGCGCGGCGCGAGCATCGCCGGCCACTAGTGCTGCCACCTACCCCGCGCTCGCGCTGGTGCTGCCACCTATGCTGAGCGCTGGTGCCGCCACCTATGCTGAGCGCTAGTGCCGCCGTCTACAGTGAGCGCTAGTGTTGCCATTTACACCTGAAACACAAGTGCTGCCACCTACGCCGTGGACTAGTGCTGCCACGTATGCCATGCACTAGTGCTGCCACCTATGCTGAGCGCTGTTGCTGCTACCAATACTGAACTCTAGTGCTGCCACCTATGCTCTGTGAAAGCGAGCGAAGCACGGCAGCCACGGGGGGGCAGCACGTGTCCGTCGTGCGACACAGAGAGATGTTCACTTGTTTTCCGGGGTTCGTGCGTTTCGGGCGGGGAAATGCTGTCGTTAGTTTTTGCACATTGTTTTCTCGTCTCTGAAATGCGAAGGCAATTTTTGATTGATTTTTTGTTAGATTTGTAGAATTTGTTCATTTGTTTTTGTTTACGACAGTAGAGAAAAAGTCTTAGTTGTTCCGTCGACGACGATTCTGTAGCGCTGTGTACCTTGCTGGACTGTCTTTTGTTGTACGCCGGACGCCACACGTGCTGCCCTCTACGTCGTAAAAATCTGCTGCGATATTTTTTCAGCAGTTTGCCAGCGATTTTGGTTGCGATCCATTCATTTTGGCATAGCAAACAAGCGAACGTGCATACGTACTGCGGGGAATGCAATTTCCCTTTTAGCGATTGTGCGATTTTTAGAGCAGGCCCGACACGAGATGGATGGCCGTGTAGGTGGCAGCACGTGTCTGTGAGGCCGCTTTCTCGCACTGTACCGCATTGTCATCTTTGTTGTTTTTTTGTAGCGACGAAATAAAAAGAAACTACGGGTTAACCTTTAAAGCACTTTGTTTTTCTCGGTTTTGGCTTCTGTCTCTCTGTCTCTCTCGCTATCGCTCTCTCTATCCGACTCGTCGCCACGGCAACACGTCCCCCCGCCCGCCGACCTTCGATGGGAAATCTTACGGCGGGTGCGATCGCTGCACACTGCTGCCACCCGGTGACGGCGTCCCTCGTTGTGGCGCCTCCTAGCTACGGCGAACTTTGTCCGGCTGTGCGTTGTGCATGGATGCGAAGCATGTTCTTGTGTTTGCTCTTCTTCGCTCGCTTCTTTCGTAAATCTTTCATCACCCCGACTGAGACGGCGGGCCGGCCGTCGAAACGTCTGGTGAATATGGCGGATCGATTTATGAAAAATTAAAATGATTTTATACACGATGGCATAAAATCGGACGACATCTCAGCGTTCGTTTGTCTTCTCCTAGCGTGTGTTGCTGTTCGCTTGTTTTCTCCTAGCGTGTGTTGCTGTTCGCTTGTTTTGAAGGCGCGCCATGGCTAGGTCTTGCGAGCGACCCTTTCACGGAAAGAGCCAGCCGCATGTGATCTTGCGTCACGTCTTGTCCTGTATCTTCGTTCCCTCTCCATGGTTCTCCCCTCACCCTTCAGCCGACGGTCTGACCTGTGCCCGGTTGCCACTCCTGCAGGCTTGGTTATGAGTTTTTACACCCACGTGTACAGCACCCCCCCCCAGCTCCTGTAGCGCCCACCTGCATTTTACAACTGAATGTGGTGCCCCTGCACGATCGCCCTCGGCAAGCTTGCGTACGTATGCTGCGCGGCGCAAGCCCTGGGTCTCATCGCGCGTGTGGCGCCCCCCCTCGCCATGTTTGGATGCCCCGGTTATGATTCGGCACTCTAAAAACCTGCAATTTCTAACCAGGAATGTTGCTTTCCATCTGCATTTTCGTATGTGAGTTCCATTGTCATAGAATGAAGCCCATGCATTTTTGTATGTGGGTTCTATTAACGTATGTGGCTGTATTATTTGCTGTATTGCTTATTTGCTGTATTTACGTATGTGGGGGTTCTCGTAGTCTTATGTGCCACTGGAATGAAGCTCCACCGATTCACGGTCGTCAAAGGCAATCGGGCGCGGGGAGGTGTATGTGGGTTTCTATATGCCATTCGAATGAACGCAGCTGGGTCATTGACGTGATGTGGGAGTTCTCTGCCATAGGAATTGAATCAGCTGTATTTACGTTGTGCGGTTTTGATTGCCATGGAATGAAGACGCAGCTGCTACTGTACGTACTGCTGGGGTTCTATTGCCATGCCGAATAGAGCAGCTGTATTTACGTGATGTGGGGTTCTCATTGGCCCATGGAATGAAGCAGCTGTATTTACGTATGTGGGGTTCTATTGCCATGGAATGAAGCAGCTGTATTTACGTATGTGGGGTTCTATTGCCATGGAATGAAGCAGCTGTATTTACGTATGTGGGGTTCTATTGCCATGGAATGAAGCAGCTGTATTAACGTATGTGGCGGGTTCTTTATTGCCTATGCGACATGAAGCAGCCTGCTAATTACGTATGTGGGGTTCTATTGCCATGGGAATGAAGCAGCTGCTATTAACGTACTGTCGTGGGTTCTATTGCCCATGGAATTCAGCATTTTCCCCCCCGCATGGATTTCTCTCGCGTCGAGATGGTTTCGGCACACTACTGGTTTTCTCTTGTATTTGCATTCTGCTGTGCTGTGTATGATGGCGCATGTACACACACGCTGCATGGCTGTGCGTGGTGAAGTTGTCTTGGATCCCGCCCCCCCCCACCTTTGGCTACCCTGCATCGTTGTGTTTGTTCCAGTGTTGCATTTAGCCGCGCGTTAAAATTTTCAGCTGGCAGCTGAAGCTTCCGTTACAAGTGGAAACCTAATGAAATACTCATAAAAATTCTCAAGGTCATCGAGTGTCAACAGACCTCGTCTCACGTGCAGTGACATGGGGCGGCCCACATTTAGAAATGCATTAGATGTGTTCTTTAAACAGGAATTAAATTTTACAATTAAAATTACAAAGATTAAACTACATTAAACCAAATTTCATATATAAGAAATTAAATTGAATGAATTTATATAAAGAAAAGTATTATGATTATTAGTAACAGTTAATTTAAGTTGTTTTTTAGGTTAATGTGTTCGTTAAACACCTACAAATAGACGTATTCGTAAAATACATTGTACTCTTAAAATCTCCATAAACCCATGAATTACATTCTCCATATGTCCAGAATTAATATATGGAAAACACGAAAAATTGTCGGCTGTTCATTCTCCAGTCGTCTGTTGGCAGCATTTGTACAGAAAACAGGGATAGCAGTCAGCCATGAGTATTAAAAAAACACGGATGACACGACTCCACATTTACACTATAAAAAAAACTACAGTAATTAACTTATTATAATTTAATTCAAAATTAATTTAATTAATTTCTTAATTAATTTAAAAAAATGTTAGTTATTGCAATGAATTATTATTCAAATATTTAATTGCAATAAAATAAGCCAATCCCCCGAAAAACCATCTCACAACAATCGGTCTGCACCGCGGAAAAAAACGTCAACAAACAAGCGAACGTGCGACGACGAACTCCCCCGTCCCAACGGGGTTTGCCGACAACCTCCCCTCCAGGGGCACTGCGAACGGCGGGGCTAGATGGTCGTGTGTTTGTCTGTTTGCGTAGGGCGGCGACGGTGGCGGCGACGGTAGTGGGGCCGCGAAACGTATGAAGATGGAGGAGGGAACGGAGGAGGAATTCGAACGCCTTTCTAACGAACTCACCGACTGGCTGGACAACATGGAAGAGGTGCGTGCTACTCGATTAATTAATCTATTTGATTAATATCTTAATTACGATATTATAATTA